AAGTTAACACCCTTATTTTGTATTTACTGTTGTATTTCCTTGTATAGTACTGTCTATGTAAACTTTCTATACCTTGTTATATCCTGTTCCCAGACTTTTACTACTGAGCATTCCCTTACCCATGCACCTTCTATAGTCTAGAAGTTTTTAACCCCATTAGTGATCAGACCATTTCAATTTTCTTACCGTTACGGTCCAGGGCTGTTTTTATATTTTTGCGGTGTTTGTGTGTAGTTGTAACTTTCCTCTTACTCATTTACTGTACCCACACTTATTATATACAATTTTTCTCGCCATTAAATGGTCTTTCTAAAGATACCATTATTTTCATCATATCATATAATTTGCTAGAAAGAAATGATAAAATATGAAGTAAAAATATAAAAACAAAAAACACTTTTTCTAACTTTGACCCCCAAAATCTATTATGCATCTACAACCGCCAAAAAACACCCATTGTAAATAGCTTCTAAATTTTGTCCTGAGTTTAGAAATGCCCAATGTTAACATGTTCTTAGCTTTTTTTGGAAAGTTATAGTACAAGTAGCACTTTGCTATTTCCAAACCATTTTTTTTCAAAATTCACACAAGTTACATTGTCTGTCAGGAATCCCTGAATAACCCTTTACATGTATTTTTTTATTTTTTTTAAAGAGATGACCACCATCATGCAATCATTTTACCACCAATCTATGCCAAATTTAAAAACAAAAAAAATAAGTTTTTTTTGACACACATAGCAATTTAAGAATACATGTATGGAGAACGTTAAGAGTTACTGCCAAAGAACACCCCAATATGTGTTCAGCAACATCTCCTGAGTACAGTGATAACCCCCCCATGAATAGGTGTGTCGGGTTCTCTGGGGGCTAAAAGACTTTATTTAGAGGGTGCACATTCCAGTTTTCCAACTTGGAATTTTCACAGCTGGTTTTCATGCACCCATGTCCTATTTGGGACATTTTTGAAGCCGGCCAATGTAATTTACCCACATCAAACCATATATTTTTGAAAAGTTCTCAGTTCCTGTATGTGTTACTGACAAAGAACACCCTAATATGTGTTCAACAACATCTCCTGTGTACAACAATGGGTTTTTGCAAATTTACAGGGGTCAAATGTAGGGCTTTCCCCTTTTCCATGTTTGCACATTGAAATTTGCCAGATTGGTTTCCCTTGAGACTGCATAGCAGCCCAGGAATGAAAATTAACCCCATTATGGCATACCATTTGTAAAAGTAGACAACCCACGGTATTCAAAATGGGGTATGTCCAGCCTTTTGTATTAGCCACTTAGCCACAGTGGTGTTTTGCCATTCATGTGAAAATAGACTCCCAATGCTTTTCTATGGGAAAGCATTGGATTGGCTGAGATCTGCAATTTTGATTATCTCAGCCAAGGAGGCAGAACGAGCGCGGAGCCAGCTCGGTTGGACCTGCACAGCGCTGAAATAAAGGTGAGTTAAATCACATTTTAATTGCTTACAGGGGCTGGGGGGCAGAAGCTTAAATAGTGTTTTCACAGCTAGCGTGACAGGAATGCATGTTTGAATTCCTGTTTCTATAGTTTTCCTTTAAGTTCATTTCCTGCTATTCTGATAAAAAAAAAAAAAAAACTTCTGTAAAAACGTACTACAATTGTCAGTCAAATTCCACCATCTATTCAAACCTGTTTATGACTTTTTATGGAGTGTGTTAAACCTGCTAAATCTTTAGAGGCTTTTAGATGTAAAGTTACAGATTATATCTTTTGCACATAAATGCAAGCAGTTTAACTGTGGACAACCTTTATATTAGTAAATTTTATTTAATTTATATTATATATTAAGCCGATGTTTGGTCATCCGATGAGATAAGCGCACTTGTTTTAATTGTTTAACTGCACACCACTAGTCAGGAAGCAATGATCAGTCTCTATCATTTCATCTGGCCAGACACAAAATCATTTTAATTCCCACACCCTGCAATATCTAAAAAAAGCTTCCCACAATTATTCTTTCTATTATATACTGCTACTCTACATACCATTCCATTTACTGTATTTTTCGGTATCAGGAGCAACTGAACATGTGATTCATCTGATTCATAATAAAACACATGATCCATTTCAATCCCTACAAAACAGGGCATAGGTAATAGATCAATGTTCATGCAAGAACATATTTGATAGAAAATATATCACGCTTTTTATGTATTTACATTTGTTCTAAAAGTATTTGGTATGACTGTGCAACTTCATGTTTGATACGCTCTTAACTCTTTTTATGGTAGCTCATGTTTGCTTTGTGTTTAGCTCTTTTTATAGAAAATTAATTAAACTTACAGTTTTGTTTTATTTGTTTTGTTTTATATTATTCTCTTACTGCATGAATGCCTTGGGACCAATTTTAGGAAGCGGCTTCAATTCATTATCTGACCATAATCTCCTAAAAGCTATGATTTATACACCAAAACTACTTCATTAAGCTAAAGTTCTTTTGGTGTCTAGAGTTTTAATTTGAGCATTTGGAGAGTTCAGTAAGTTATATTTTCCTTTTTGACATTTAGGTTTAAATTTTGATGTCAGTAGTAGGGAAGGCAACACTTGACATTTAGTTAGTTAGACTCCAGATGCAGTTAGTCAATGTCGTCTGCTGATTCGTTGAAAATACATACTGGTTGGCACTAAGCAGTGAAGGGGACAACAGCATGTAGCTTTGAAAAAGACACACATTTTTACCATTTTACTAAAACATACTTTTACTATTTTAGCATCTACTTCATTTTAAAAGGGACCTATCTGGAATTTACCACATTAAATAAAACATTGACAATCACCCATAAATCGGATTATAGGTGCATTTTTTTTCATGAGATACTCTATTTTCTTTTACATTTTAAAGAAGACTTAGCAACATAATCCAGTTCAGACAACAAAGCAAAACCAGGGCACAAATTACAAATGAGGAGGAAACAAACACATTATTTAATTAATGTTCTTCTCCGCATGCTTTCTCTATGCAGGTTGCTGGATACAATGGTAGCTTATGAGATTGACTGACAAAGAATAAAAATTAATGTGCCCAGATATAGGATAAACAGATGTTAATTTCTGAGACAATTTTGTTTTCCACAATTTTAGGAATACGTAAGCATAATATTAAATGTTCTGAAAAGTGACAGTTTCCCTTTAAGGTATTTCCCACATTATTACTCCTGTTTCATGTGCACTTCATGTGTTTAAACAACAGTATACAAACCAATTAGTGTTTACTAACACTTCAAGCAGCATAACTACTACGGCCCATTGTGGCTATGGTGCAAAGAGTGCCCTGACACCATCCCACCTTAGAATGTAAAACTATATATCATGTTTGACAACTTACTGTTACATTCACTACACCCAGTGTTCTATAGCAGGATAAGCTGCATGCCACTGCTTAGAGCAAATCAGGAATAAAATCATTGACTGAGATTGCCAGCTGAGTGGGATATAGTGGTTTTGGTGCTTGGAGTGTTTAAAGGGGCAACCTAAGTACCATAATCACTACATCCCATGGTGCCGTACCAAGATAAGTAGTCAAATTGTCTATGAACAATTTCCAGAGACCCTAACATGTTCCTGAATCCCTGAGTTAGAGGTGTCAATTTGGACAGAATTCATTAGCTGTAAGGATTCGTTGATGCCCTCAGCTGATTAATTGCATCTAAAGAGGTGCAGACGTGATGTCACTAATGTAGAAGCATTGACTTTCACTTTGGCGATATCTAAAAAGGGAGTCAGGTCAGAGGTATACAGTGGGCCCAGCTAAGTGTCAAACCATTTAAATATTGCATTATTATTTACCAAGACATAGTGCCAGGAAACTCTTTAGCATTATCATTGATACAGCACACTTTAATGGTTTTGAAGAATAGACCTCCCCTTAACGTCTGGTTAAATCTGGGAATCATGTACAAATCCTTTGATAATTCAAGCTATCAATAAGTGAGCCATGAGGCCATGAAATGAGACTTACAGTTGTGACTCAAGACTGGACATTGGAGCGACATAGTTTGATGGGACATATCCTTCAAATTTTCCTTTGGATTTCAATAGTCTAGCTTTCCACCAGCCATTATGACTTATATCCACAATATACATCTGATCCCCTACAGAAATAGTCAGCTCCTCATTGGCACGAGCCTCATAATCATATAGAGCCACATAAGTTGTTGGGTTTCTTTGTATGGTGATGTGATTGTTCGGATCGAAGGGTGGGCCATCCGGAATAACATTTTCGTGTGGAAACGTATGCATATTTGCAATGACAATGTCATCTTTTTTGTAAACCTCTTGTCTATTGTTGTCATCCTTGAAGAGACAAGGTATCACACATTTCAGTGCACCACAATGCTTTCTACAACAGTTCCCCATCTTTGAGGTCCCTTCCTGTAGTAATTCCTGGTTTGGGTTACAGAAATAGCTGTGAATTATCCCCGAGTTTCACCTTGTTAACAAAAAAAACATGGCAATGCTGGTTAATCCAAACATGTGCGAACAAATCTCAAAAAAATCATTGGATTCCACCAAGCCAGACTGTTGTATATCAATGTTTTTGTTTGTCTGTTTGTTGGATTTATTTTTCAGAAAGGGCAGATAGTCAGTAGCAGTTATCTTCCAGAATCTGCTAATTTCTAAGTGCAGATATTGTACATTACCGTCTAATGTGTTCTCAGATCAGTCAGTGAGGTCTGTTTTGTTCTTCATAATGAAAGGAATGGCTGGATCAAGTGTTTAACACTGTACCTACGAGAATGCTGACTTTACTTCCTGGAGAAAGGTATGTTTGCCTTTCATTCCTAACCCCGCCCTCAGTCTAGAAGTCTATAGTTCCTTTGGTTTCCACTGCAAGAACACAACGCCTTCTGGCTGTTTCTCAACTGTTTACCTGTTGAGTGAGAAAGGTAAGATTGTGCCGGCTACTTCCCCAGGTAATAACTAGAAACCTCACAGGATATCTTGCTGAGAAGCACATCCCACTTCAAATGAGTTTTCAGAGCAAGTGAAATGGCAGTGTTTGATACAACACATCACGCTGAGGAGACAGAATGTTTTCAGTAGTTTGAAAGCATACCTGTCATATGTCTACGCCTGATTACTTCATTGTTTGAGAATGTCAGTAAAGACACAGCTATGCAATTTTAGATTTTCCAACACAATATTTAGTAATCAATGCACCCTATTCACTCCAGAGTCTTGCTCTAATGATTCCAGTAACTGGCTTGATAAAGCAAAGCAGCCTGTCTGCACAGATCAAAATATAAATAGTCAGGCAAACAAAGGGTTCACCTGTATTCACTTGAGTGTTTATGTATTGCAAATCAAAGAACACCTTTATCTTGATTTTCTTTTATCTAGCATTGTAAAGTAAATGTTTACGAACACAAGGAGTGTGTATGTATGTATAATATATATATTTATATATCATGTGACAAAAGTACTCCTTTCCCTTGGTACCTTGTCCTGGGATTGGGGTGTTACACACAGTCTTTTCAGGCTTTAGAGACACTTCACACGCTGGATGAGGTAAAAGGACTTGCTCTTTTTATTGTGGTTCCAAAATAAATGCACAGTAAGGTATAAAAGGTTGTAACAAAATATATAAAACAAAATCCTTGCTCTTCTGAGCACTAACTACACAAAATGTCCATTTCCCAACTGTCATGACACTCCTTAGTTAATATGCCCTTGTGCAATACTCACACTCACCACTGGTTCTGTTTGGCACTGTTTCTCATTTCTTTTCGTTAAGCATCACCTGGCCCTTGTTTAGCACCTATATATTCTGGCTTCTCCCCTCACTCCCTGTCAGATCATTATCCTTCATCCTATACCTGCTGTTTCCCGGCTTCCCGTGATTCTGGCTCCTTGTTCCTGTGTATCCTGATCCTGTGTTCCTGTTCCGATGCCCTTTATGGTCCTGTGTCATGTGCCTCCCGTTCCAGTGTTCACTTGCAGTGTTCCTCCTTATACTTAATTTCCAGTGATTCTGACTTTGCTCCCTTATTTATGTGTGACCTGCTTTAGGCTTTGCTCCTTGGTGTTTTTTATTTAGTGTTTGGTGGCTTAGGAACCATGCCCCACTTATATTCTGTGGTGGCTGCACGATCCTGCCAAAGGACTTTACTTTTGCCTAAGGACTATCACGTGTACTCTGCCTGCTCTATTTGTATTTATATTGATTTCTTGTGTGTGTGTGTGTATATATATATATATATATATATATATCTGTGGCATTGTACATATTTTGTTTTTGTATATTATATCCTTTGGTTTTCTTTAATACATATTTTCTTGATTGCTCCATTCACCGTGTCCTTTCATTATTTCTCTGCTAAGTTGGTTCACTCATTTAAAGGGACAGTGCTGTCGCAGGGCAGCACCCCTTCATGTCCTTACACCAACATAAACAACAACCTTCAGGGTTGTTCAGCTTTGTTTCCACTCACAGAAATCAAACACAATCTGTCTCCTCCTTTGGCAGGGGAGTACTTAATAGCACCTGTAATTAACAATCCTTTTCAGGTGAAGTAAATTAGGATTGAAACTCTGGAACTGGACTTCTCATCTGTAGGTTCCAAGCAACTTCCAAAATGTGGAGTAGAGCACTGGCCCACCCTACTCTCCAAGTGCTCCACCCCAGGGCCAAAATATACACATATTTAAAGGGCAATATTCATTTTAACATAACTTATTTCCCTGGGGCTAATTACACAAAATAGGAACCTTGCAAAATCTGAGGAGATATATAGATTCCCTTAAGCACAATTACTTGCTTTCGGTCACACATCCCAGCTCAGACCTATTGGGTCGAGCGACCATGGACATTAACGAGTGCATCCGTGAAAGACCATCTGCATTTCCCTGTTTACACCCAGCCCTATGCTCTATTGAAAAATTATAGGGTTGCACGCTAAGGAACCAGCGGGTTACTCTACTATTTTTCGCCCTGTTTTGACTTATCCAAGTAAGGGGTGCATGTTCTGTCAGTAGGTTGAATTTTTGTCCCAAGAGATAGTATTTAAGTGTGTCTACTGCCCACTCTATAGCCAGACACTCCTTCTCAACAATGGAATAGTTTCTTTCTTGGGGATTAAGCTTCCTGCTTAAATATAATATGGGGTGCTCCTCACCCTGAATTTCCTGAGAGAGAACGGCACCAAGCCCTACATCAGATGCATCTGTCTGTAAAATAAATTCTTTAAAAAAATCAGGTGTTACCAACACTGGTTGGGCACAAATGGCTTCTTTAAGCTTTCTGAATGCTTGTTCAGTCTCTGGGGACCATTTTACCATTACTGGAGCATTAGCTTTACTAAGGTCAGTTAATGGGCTTCCAATTGTAGCAAAGTTGGATATAATCTCCTGTAATATCCAATGAGGCCAAGAAATGTTCTCACCTGTTTCTTAGTCAGTGGTCTTGGCCAATTTCGTATGGCTTAAATTTTAGCAACTTGGGGTTTCACTAGTCCCCTTCCAATAGAGTAGCCCAAATATTTTGCTTCGTCTAGGCCAATCGTACACTTACTGGGGTTAGCGGTTAGGCCAGCATTTTGTATTGAGTTAAGGACAGCCTGTACTTTTGGAAGGTGAGATTCCCAATCCTCACTGTGTACTACAACATCATCCAAGTATGCAGCCGCATAGCGCACATGCGGCTTTAGTATTCTGTCCATCATTCTTTGGAATGTGGCAAGGGCACCATGCAAGCCGAAAGGCAAAACTCTGTACTGAAATAGGCCATCAGGAGTAGAAAATGCTGTCTTTTCTTTCGCTCACTCTGTGAGTGGTACTAGACAATATCCTTTGGTAAAATCTAATGTAGTGAGGTACCGATCTCTCCCAAGTCGTTCCACTAGCTCATCAACTCTAGGAATGGGGTATGCATCAAACTTAGAAATAGCATTAGAAACATAGAAACATAGAATGTGACTGCAGATAAGAACCATTCGGCCCATCTAGTCTGCCCAATTTTCTAAATACTTTCATTACTCCCTAGTCTTATCTTATAGTTAGGATAGCCTTATACCTATCCCACGCATGCTTAAACTCCTTTACTGTGTTAACCTCTACCCCTTCAGCTGGAAGGCTATTCCTTGCATCCACTACCCTCTCAGTAAAGTAATACTTCCTGATATTATTTTTAAACCTTTGTCCCTCTAATTTAAGACTATGTCCTCTTGTTGTGGTAGTTTTTCTTCTTTTAAATATAGTCTCCTCCTTTACTGTGTTGATTCCCTTTATATATTTAAATGATTCTATCATAACCCCCCTATCTCATCTTTCCTCCAAGCTATACATGTTAAGATCCTTTAACCTTTCCTGGTAAGTTTTATCCCGCAATCCATGAACCAGTTTAGTAGCCCTTCTCTGAACCCTCTCTAAGGTATCAATATCCTTCTGAAGATACGGTCTCCAGTACTGTGTACAATACTCCAAGTGAGGTCTCACCAGTGTTCTGTACAATGGCATGAACACTTCCCTCTTTCTACTGCTAATACCTCTCCCTATACAACCAAGCATTCTGCTAGCATTTCCTGCTGCTCTATTACATTGTCTGCCTACCTTTAAGTCATCAGAAATAATCACCCCTAAATCCCTTTCCTCATATGTTGAGGTTAGGACTCTATCAAATATTCTGTACTCTGCCCTTGGGTTTTTACGTCCAAGATGCATTATCTTGCACTTATCCACATTAAATGTCAGTTGCCACAATTCTGACCATTTTTCTAGTTTACCTAAATCATTTGCCATTTGGCTTATCCCTCCTGGAACATCAACCCTGTTACATATCTTAGTATCATCAGCAAAAAGACATACCTTACCATCAAGACCTTCTGCAATATCACTAATAAAATATTAAAGAGAATGGGTCCAAGTACAGATCCCTGAGGTACCCCACTGGTGACAAGTCCAAGCTTTGAATATATTCCATTAACTACAACCCTCTGTTGCCTGTCACTCAGCCACTGCCTTACCCATTCAACAATATTGGAATCCAAACTAAAGATTGCAGTTTATTGATAAGCCTTCTATGTGCAACAGTGTCAAAAGCCTTACTGAAATCTAGGTAAGCAATGTCTACTGCACCACCCTGATCTATAATTTTAGTTACCCAATCAAAAAAATCAATAAGATTAGTTTGGCATGATCTCCCTGAAGTAAACCCATGTTGTCTCTGATCTTGAAATCCATGTGTTTTTAGATGTTCATCAATCCTATCCTTTAACATGGTTTCCATCACTTTCCCCACTACTGAAGTAAGGCTTACTGGCCTATAGTTGCCCGACTCCTCCCTATTACCTTTCTTGTAAATGGGCACAACATTCGCTAACTTCCAATCTTCTGGGACTACTCCTGTTAACAATGATTGGTTAAATAAATCTGTTAATGGTTTTGCTAGTACACCACTAAGCTCTTTTAATAGCTTTGGGTGTATTCCATCAGGTCCCATTGACTTATTTGTCTTTACTTTTGACAGTTGAAATAGAACCTCTTCCTCTGTAAACTCACGTGTAATAAATGACTCATTTATCCTTTTTCTCAACTGAGGTCCCTTTCCTTCATTTTCATCTGTAAATACAGAACAAAAATATTCATTGAGGCAGTCAGCTAGACCTTTATCCTCCTCTACATACCTTCCTTCTTTTGTTTTTAATCTAACTAATCCTTGTTTTACTTTTCTTTTCTCATTTATGTATCTAAAAAATGTTTTATCCCCCTTTTTTACTGACTGTGCTATTTTCTCTTCTGTGTGTGATTTGGAAGCTATTATAACTTGCTTAGCCTCTTTCTGCCTAATCTTATAGATCATTTTGTCTTCCTCACTCTGTTTTTTTTTATAATTCCTAAATGCTAACTTTTTGTTTTTAACTATTTTGGCCACATCTGCGGAGTACCACAGTGGTTTCTTGAATTTTTTGCTTTTACTGACAAGCCTAATGCAATTTTCTGTTGCCTTCAATAGTGCAACTTTTAAATAATCCCATTTCTCTTGGACTCCATTTAAATTGCTCCAGTCTGATAATGACTCCTCTACCCATATTCTAATTTTAGAAAAGTCTGTTTTTCTAAAGTCTAAAACTTTTGTTTTTGTGTGGTGTGACTCAGTCACTGTTCTTATATTAAACCACACTGACTGATGATCACTGGATCCTAAACTTTCACCTACAGTAATATCTGATACCAAATCTCCATTTGTTAACACTAAATCTAGTATGGCCTCTTTACGAGTTGGCTCCTCAACAACTTGTTTTAGAGACAATCCCAGTAGGGAGT